GACCTATTCTGGAAAATGCTCCATGTGCACTTGAAAATATACATGCTGCTGTTGTGGACTAAAGTGTTCTATGTCTTTTAGATCTAGTTGGTTTATTGTGTTAATTCCTCTAATTTCTTACTTATCTTCTGTCTACTTGTTCTGATAATTGAGAACGTGATATTGACATTTATTATTGTAAAACTTTTCACCCCTTCAATTCTGTCATTTTTTGCTTCATATATATTTATGGTCTGCCATTAAGTGTGTAAATGTGTATAATCATTATACATTCTTGCTGTATTGAAACTTTAATACATAATCTTGTTCTTTGTCTCTTATAATCTCTGATTTAAAATCTATTTTGTCTGGTATTAGTATAGCCACCCTGCTCTCTTCTGGTTACTATTTGCATGAATTATCTTTTCCCATCCTTTCACTTTCAATCTATTTGTCTTTGGATCGAAAGTGAATCTCTTGAAGATAGCATATAGTTAAATCATTTGTTACGCATTCTGCCAGTCTGTATTTTAGTTAAAATATTTAACCCACTTATACTTAATTACTGATAAGGAGGGTCTTCTGTCATTTTGCTATTTGTTTTCTGTATGCCTGCCTGACAACTTTTATGTCCCTTATTTCTTGCAAAAAATAAAGTGTTTAGCTTTGGCTGTGAAGTCAGACCAACCTATGTTAGAATTCGCCTCTGTTACTGTGTGTGTACATGCTTGAATGTGAATTTGGGTTAGCTACTTTCTTGTATGTTCACATGGAGTGGAACTGTAGTGCTCACTTTATAAGCTTGTTTTGGCATAAGATACCATGAAGTGTTCAGAGCACTTAGTGCTAGCACAATGAACATAATCAATGTTAGATTCCATTATTATTTTATCCTGATTGAATTACAGTAATAAGAACTCTGACCACTGATAGAGAATACCTATTTCATAGGATGAGTATCAGGACTCAATAACAGAAGATTTGAGAGAGTTTGGGAAAACAAGGTAAGAGCACAGGCTTAAAGTATGATTTTTTTTTTTTTAGATGGGAGTCTTGCTCTGTTGCCAGACTGGAGTGCAGTGGTACGATCTGAGCTCACTGCAACCTCTGCCACCCGGGTTCAAGCGATTCCCCTGCCTCAGCCTCCTGAGTAGCTGGGACTACAGGCACATGCCACCACGCCCGGCTAATTTTTTGTATTTTAGTAGAGATGGAGTTTCACCATGTTGGCCAGGATGGTCTCGATCTCCTGACCTCGTGATCCTCCTGCCTCAGCCTCCCAAAGTGCTGGGATTACAGGTGTGAGCCACTGCGTCCAGCCAAAGTATGATTTTCAGAAAGGCAAAAACAGCTACTTGAGAGGCTGAGGTGGCAGCACTGCTTCAGGCTAGAAGTTTGAGGCTGCAGTGCACTATGATCACACCTGTGAATAGCCACTGCCCTCCAGACTGGCCAACAGAGCGTGACCCCAGCTCTGTAAACATGACTCTCACAGACACAGAATGATCAAGGAACTTATGTCAAAGTTTAAACAACTTGCTAATGAGGCTGTTTCCGAATTACATCCTATAAAACCTAAGGGTAAATTTTTATGTGGTTTCATCCTGATAAAGTGTGCAGTAATCATTAAAACCTGTTTCTACCAAATGTTTCCCAGTTACTGTCATTCTTTATCCAATTAAATACTTTATTTCTGGCCAGGCTCATGCCTGTAATCCCAGCACTTTAGGAGACCGAGGCAGGTGGATAACCTGAGGTCAGGAATTCAAGACCAGCCTGGCCAATATGGCGAAACCCCATCTCTACTAAATACACAAAAAAATTTGCTGGGTGTGGTGGTGCACACCTGCAGTTCCAGCTGCTCGGGAGGTTGAGCGAGGAGGATCACTTGAACCCGAGACGCGGAGGTTGTAGTGAGCTGAGATCACGCCACTGAACTCTACCCTGGTCAACAGTGAGACCCTGTCTCAAAAAACAAAATTATTTCTACCTTCCATTATTTAAAAAAATTATAAGCTGACCAGGCACAGTGGCTCACACCTGTAATCCCAGAACTTTGGGAGGCCAAGGCAGGTGGATCACAAGGTCAGGAATTTTGAGACCAGGATGGTGAAACCCTGTCGCTACTACAAATACAAAAATTAGCTGGGCATTGTGGCACGCACCTGTAGTCCCAGCTACTCGGGAGCTGAGGCAGGAGAATCATTTGAACCCAGGCAGTGGAGGTTGCAGTGAGCTGAGATTCTGCCATTGCACTCCAGCCTGGGCAACTCTGTCTCAAAAAAAAAAAAAAAAATTATAAGCTAAATGCAAGACAATTAGTTTTCATCAATATATACTTTAATGTTTTATTAAATACATCTAAAACACCTGGTCATGTCGTAAAACAAACTATAATTTTAAAAATCAACCTTTTAATTATCCCTAAAAGCCCTATGCTAAAGTTATCATATACAAACACATATTTACTGAAGTACTAGAACTCCCATTATCACACTGCTAGCTTCACCAATAACTCACACATTTAGCTAAACATTATATTGCATTATTTATATTAGGTAATGAGAAACAAACTATTTGCTCTATATAATTTTAATCTTGACTTTAGTGCATTTTCCAGAAATTGGATGAATTAAATCCACAATCCAAGGCTTTGGCAAACACGCATTGAACACTATAAATATTGCACTGACATGCCTGTAATCCCAGCACTTCGGGAGGCCGAGGCGGGTGGATCATGAGGTCAGGAGATCAAGACCATCCTGGTCAACATGGTGAAACCCTGTCTGTACTAAAAATACAAAAATTAGCCAGGCATGGTGGCACGTGCCTGTAATCCCAGCTACTTGGGAGGCTGAGGCAGGAGAATCACTTGAGCCAGGGAGTTAGAGGTTGCAGTGAGCCGAGACTATGCCACGGCACTCCAGCCTGACAACAACAGAGCAATACCCCGTCTCAAAAAAAATTAACAAAAAAAATTGCACTGACAAGAATGTGCTGACATCACTGCTTTGTTTCTCTCCCCAAACCTTTCTGAGTATGTCAGATTAAGCTGTTTCTCTCCAAGAGTAGAAAAGCAATAGGTGTAATTAATTGCTGAAATAGTTAGCTGATAAGTCCTCAGAAATAGAGAAACTGGGATGACTTTAGTGACTGAATAAATCTTTTTAAATGGTTCCCAATCCTTAGCTTTCAATGAAATTGAAAGAATTATGAGATGGTAGACCATTAAAATACTGATCATAGATAACTATGAACATTTTGCAATATAACTTGAAAGAAAGTTGTTTTTCTTTCTGAGAGAGTCTCACTATGTCGTCCAGGCGAGAGGGCAGTGGCACAATCTCGGCTCATTGCAAGCCCCATCTCCCAGGTCTAAGTGATTCTCCTGCCTCAGCCTTCCCAGTAGCTCTGATTATAGGCCTGTGCCACCAAGCCTAATTTTTTTGTATTTTTAGTAGAGATGTTGGTCAGGCTGGTTTTGAACTCCTGACCTCAAATGGCTCATGCCTGTAATCCCAACACTTTGGGTGGCTGAGGTGGCCACCCAGTGTTGGGATTACAGGCATGAGGTATTGAGCCCAGCCAGAAAGAAATTTAAAGAATTAAGTGGTATTAATATAACAAAACTCCTCTGTTCCTTTTTACTATGTGAACAAGATTTCTCAGTAATTATATTAATAAAATTAAAAACGGGCTAGGTGCGATGTCTCACACTTATAATCCCAGCACTTTGGGAGGCCGAGATGGGCAGATCACCTGAGGTCAACAGTTCAAGATGAGCCTGGCCAACATGGTGAAACCCCGACTCTACTAAAAATACAAAAATAGCTGGGTGTGGTGGTGGGTGCCTGTAATCCCAGCTACTCCAGAGGCTGAGGCAGGAGAATTGCTTGCATCCGGGAGGAGGATTCTGCACTTCACTGTGCCACCGAACACCAGCCGAGGTGGCAGTGTGAGACTCTGCCTCAAAAAAAGAAAACAAAGAGAAAAGAACTTCATATATGCAAGATACTGTTATTTAAGCAATCTAGAAATTCTTAATGATCACCGACTTTCCAGTGGGAATATGGCTTTATTTTACAGATAAGATATTCCCTTTGTGAAGAAGCATGGGCATATGTGATTTTAAAATAGTTTTTTTTTTTTTTTTTAAAGTTTGTTGAAGCTTTAAAGAGCAGGAGGAATTATGCTGTTAGCTAGCCCTGGGAATCCCACAGTCACACAGGAACAGGGATTCCTTGTCAACAGGGAATCTGGTTATCACCCTCAACTGCAGGCACTCATTTTGGTCCACACTTGCACCATCTTCACAGACTCAGGCAGGTTTTGATGGTCAAAGCTGCAACTGGCCATGGACCATTACCTGTTACTTACTGTCCAGCACCAAGATACCCAGGTCAAATTCTTTGCCATCCTGAAAGGGCATTTTCAGATTTCACCTCAGGCTTCACGACTGAGCCCCATTCTCACGGCTGTTCATGACTACACAACGGCCAAAGTACACTTGAAAATGGAAGGTGACATCTGAGTCCTCATTCTTCCTAGTATGGAAATCCACCTGCCGCTGATCAAAGAAACTACCGGTCCCCCTTTGATTGTCAAGTAGAACCAACAGACAAAGCACAGCCTGTGTGTGTGACACGGGTGGTGCTGACACTGTCTCCCTCTGGGTGGCTCTTCCAAATCGTGTTGTCTTCTGATGTTTTATTTTGCGTGTGTGAGTTTGCTTGTCCTAACCTAGTGTTTTGTCTTTCTCTCTTGCTCTGATATTTAGGGCAGATGCAGAAGGTGTTAGTTAAAGAAAAATTAGCCAGGTGTGGCCAAAGTCCGTACAATATTTACCGGTAAAATATTTTAAGGCCTTACCTTTTGGAACTTTTTGCATGTTTTGACATCTGCCCAGTGTCATCCAAACCAAGAAAAGAGAAGATCTGTATGATTATGCTGTCAGGTGTTTGAACTAACAAATCAGAATTTCCCTTACACAGCTCACACAGATTCAAAGAATATTCCAATACTTCTTTAAAAAAATTATTTAATAAATGGTTAAAATCATAGTGCGAAAAATACATTAACATTTAACAACTTCACTGAAAGGAAGAAACTATAGGATGCATAGCTTCAGAAAGCTATTTTAAGTTATTTACAAATAAAGTATCTAACATTCATCTATGTGCTGTACCCACTTTATCCCTCCCGAACAAAATTTCTGTTATTTGGGCAAATCCTTAAACCATGGTTTAAACCATAATGGTTACAAACCACAAATGTGTCCATCCAAGACTGTGAAACCACGTTCATCCAGCCAGTGGCAAAACTGTTGAAATAGCAATAGGTGAAGCTGTTGGGTTTTATACAATGTGAAGTCTGATATATATTCCTACCAGAAGGACTAAAACACAGCACAGGTGTGGCTGACTCACAAAGGTTGTAACAAACAAGAACTGTTGGCTGGGCGCAGTGGCTCATGCCTATAATCCCAGCAGTTTGGGAGGCCGAGGTGGGTGGATCACGAGGTCAAGAGATCGAGACCATCCTGGTCAACATGGTGAAACCCCGTCTCTACTAAAAATACAAAAATTAGCTGGGCACGGTGGCGCATGCCTGTAATCCCAGCTACCTAGGAGGCTAAGACAGGAGAATTGCCTGAACCCAGGAGGCAGAGGTTGCGGTGAGCCAAGATCATGCCATTGCACTCCAGCCTGGGTAACAAGAACGAAACTCCGTCTCAAAACAAACAAACAAACAAGAACTGCTCTTTCCTCGACACCACGGCTCAGAAGCCAGCGGGAAGCACCATGAGGCTGACAGCTCCTCTGCTTACAAACACACAAAACCCAAAGTGGACGTTGTTCTCACGGCACTGACCCTGCTTCAGGGCTCATACTGATTCAATACTAATTTTCTCCCCTATTTTACACATACTTTTCTACTGTCCAATGAAAATCATTTGTGATTTGGCTGAACACCAAATACTAGTTTATACCAAAAATGGTAAAATCCACGAGAATTCTGCTCAATTTAAGACAAGATCACTACTTTCTTTAGAATGGCTTCTGTGTGTTTCTACGTCACCCTCTTTATTTTCAGCTTCCAGTTTCCTGGTAAGGAGTAAGTGCTCCCTTCCGGCAACACTTGGAGTCATGTACACGTTTCTGGGATGCCTTCACTCGTTCCTGGAGGCCAGGTGCATACTGTGACTCACTCTGCCTCTTCCCTCTTCTCAGGACCAGTCCCCGAAGCTTCTGCCTTGCAGTTCCTCCCGATTCCACCACACTCTCGAGCTCGGAAGCGAGCTCCTGGATCATACAGCTGCAAGGTGGGCCGGTCCTGCCAGGATAAGAGGGCACGTTACTCTTCCAAGGACCAGCAACGCAGAAAACATCAGTATCTCCTTGCATTTCTTTTTTTTTTTTTTGAGATGGAGTTTCGCTCTTGTTGCCCAGGCTGCAGTGCAATGGCATGATTTCGGCTCCCTGCAACCTCCACCTCCCGGATTCAAGCAATTCTCCTGCCTCAGCCTCCTGAGTAGCTGGGATTACAGGCATGCTCCACCACACCTGGCTAATTTTGTATTTTTAGTAGAGACGGGATTCTCCATGTTGGTCAGGCTGGTCTTGAACTCCTGACCTCAGGTGATCCGCCTGCCTTGGCCTCCCAAAGTGCTGGGATCACAGGCGGGAGCCACCACGCCCGGCCTCTCCCTGCATTTCTAGAGCTTGCTGATATTAATTGTCCAAAGACAATCAACCAGGCCAGATGTGGTGGCTCATGCCTCTATAACCCAAGCACTTTGGGAGGCCAAGGTGGGCAGATCACCTGAGGTCAGGAGTTTGAGACCAGCCTGGCCAACATGATGAAACCCCATCTCTACTAAAAATACAAAAATTAGGCCAGGCATAGTGACTCACACCTGCAATCCCAGCACTTTGGGAGGCCAAAGCAGGCAAATCACGAGGTCAGGAGTTTAAGACCAGCCTGGCCAACAGGATAAAACCCCGTCTCTACTAAAAAATACAAAAAATTAACTGGGTGTAGTGGTGGGCACCTGTAATCCCAGCTACTCAGGAGGCTGAGGCAGGAGAATTGCTTGAACTTGGGAGGCGGAGGTTGCAGTGAGCTGAGATCGCGCCACTGCACTCCAGCCTGGCGTCAGAGCAAGACTCTTTCTCAAAAACAAAACAAAACAAAAACAAAGAAAAAAATCAGCTGGGTGTGGTGGTGAGCGCCTATAATCCCAGCTACTTGAGAGGCAGAGGCAGAAGAATCCCTTGAAACCGGAAGGTGGAGGTTGCAGTGTGCTAAGATTGTGCCACTGCACTCCAGCCAGGCGAAAGAGCAACACTCCTTATCAAAAAGAAAAGAAAAAAGATAATCAACAGGTAGCTAAAAATCAACCCTTTTCACAGCACTATCTCAGAAACCAGGTATTCTAAAAGGCAATTTTAAAAGCCTCGTAAACGTTGGTTATCTAGGCAAATCTTACTGCTCAAACCAAGAACATGTAATCTATGGGAACAGTACAATCATGGCACCCCCCTCTGAGTTTGAGAGGTGAAAACTCAAAACATGTCCACCTCAGTCCCTAAGCCTGAAACAAAATGAGATGTGGACCCTCAGAGATGGTTTCAGATCTGCAAACTGAAACAGTTATTAACTGAGTAATAAGCAATTTTCACGGGCTTATCCCTGCCCAGCATCTACCAGCAGGGAAACTAAACTGCCCCTTTTTAGAAAACGCCACTCCATAATTTTATCAAACTCCTGGAGGCGAAGTAATAAAAATGACCCAGAAAATCCATGAAGGGCAGCTGTTCAGTGCCTGAGGACAGCAACAGCCAGGGAAGGCCACCAGCCCTGCTCCAGCACTGAAGCGGCGGAAGGGAGGAAGGCGGCTCATTTGCAGAGGCCTGTAGCCTCCCACTCCATGTGCCTCCCGCTCACTGCCTATTCTCCCTGCAGAGCTGCAGCCTTAGCCTCCAATGGCCGCCAAGAGCCCAAGTGTGGGCTGCAAAGATGACCATGTGGGTACATCTCACGTGCTCCTCTGGGATTCACCAGCTCACCTTTACCTCCTCCTGGACTGTGTGTGGAAGCCCCCATCAGGTTACTGCCAAGGGGGTTAACTTAATTTCTTTTCCTTGATATGAACCTGACCAATGGGGGGTGTGCAAACAGGTTCAGCAGGCCCCTGGACCTGAATCCTCCTGTGGGGCAGAGACAGGCTGCCTGGAGCCAGCGTGCACAGCTCTACTTCTTACCAGGGCAGTGCCTGTGTACACAGATGGAGCATAGAGCCTGACCTTAGAAGTACATGACAAATGCTAGGCTCCCAGGAAAGCAGCTCCTGCACACAGTGCCTCATTCCCACCACAGGCTCAACAGAGGAGCGAATGCTCCCCCACCTCAGGTCAGGGGGATAGCAGACCATTCACCACTGCGAAAAGGCAACTGAAGACCGAGGGCTCCTGTGAGCAAGTCCCCATCAAAAGGACCCATGGCTGTACTTTGTGCTGCTAGAGGTCTAGGCAACCCTAGAAAACTGTAAATATTCTAGAGGTGATCATTCAAGGGTGAAGACAAGAAGGCTCCACTCTGGCTTTCAGACTCTACTTCACTGAAACATTTTAAAAGTGAACATTGTTCATACATATGACAACCTGAAAAGATCCGAAAGGAATTAGGCTGAGTGAAAAAAGCCACTCTTAAAGCTCACATAGTATGTGTTTCCATTTATCAAGCATTCCTGAAGTGACAAATTCAGAGACACAGAACCGACAGTGGCACCAGGGTTACGGGGAGGGAGGGAGGGAGGTGAGTGGGAACTGCAGCCCTAGGCAGCCCTCAGTTCGCTGGGAGGCTGAGGTGGGGCCTGGTGCTGTCAGGAAGATGATACCGTCTACAGCGCTGTGCTGGGAAAATGCAATCTGAACAAAAATTAGCTTCAAGCTTCTGAAAAAAAAAGCTGTTTGTTTGGCTAAGGGGGTAACCACAGTCCTGTGCTCACTGTCTGTGCAGAACTAACTTACAGGTGTTTTTGAGCCACGGGATTATTCACTAATGAGAATGTTGTTAATAATGTGGAAGACAGCTCCATGAAATACCATTACAACCATCCTTCCAAGGGAAAAGGTCATAATCCTTAATCTTATTCTCAAGCAAATCATATAAATGTGCTAGTTTTATACTAAATAAAATCTTTTTCCTGCTCAAAAATAATTTGATTCTCTGAGAAAAGATGATGACTAGTCTCCTCTACGATCTGACTTTCAGGAACAACTACTCTTGTAAAAGCACTACGCTCCACAAGACGACATAAGGCCAAATGACATGGTCAGCATGCAACCTGGATCTAAGACAGCCAGACAGATTTTTCTTTCTGGGTTTGATAAAAACCTTGTTTGCCAGTCGCTCCTTTCTGGGTGCCGGACTGTCATCACACCTCTGTGCTCTTCCGAGTCTCTCCACGGCCCCCCCTGGGGCCACACTGTCCTGGCTCCCCTTCTTCCCAGGTCCTTTCCCCCACCTCTGCTCATCTTCACTCCTGCTGGAAAGCCGGTCAGGCTCGTGGTAAGCTCTGTGCCTTCTGCCATCATCCACATGGGGTCTTTGTGCTTCAAGTTCTTTTTCTTGAGATCTCTCCACATCCCTGTGCTCTTTGTCACTGCCACTGCGTGACCTATGTTCAACACAAATGATCAGCAACTGCAGTAATGCCAGTCGGCTGCCCACCCTCCTTTCTAGACGACAGACTCCCAGCGGCCAGGGACCGTGCGACATGCTCAGCACTGCGCTGCGATGGGCACATGACAGGCATTCATAAAAACCACCACAAAGAGGAAGAAATAGCAGTAAAATTTGCAACTTCACTTGAGTGACAGTTAGGCAGTAAGACTTAGGCTAAGGTACTTTTTATACATATTTTCTAATTCTCAAAACCCTCCAAAGCAAATATCTTCTTTTGGCCAGGCATGGTGACTCATGCCTGCAATCCCAGCACTTCAGGAGGCCAAGGCAGGTGGACTACCTGAGGTCAGGAGTTGGAGACCAGCCTGGCCAACACAGTGAAATCCCATCTCTACTGAAAATACAAAAATTAGCCAGGTGTGGTAGTGGGTGCCCGTAATCCCAGCTACTCGGGAGGCTGAAGCAGGAGAACTGGTTGAACCTGGGAGGTGGAGGCTGCAGTGAGCTGAGATCATGCCACTGTAATCCAGCCTGGGTGACAGAGCGAGACTCAAAAAAACTAAAACTAAAATAAAATAAATCTTCTTTTTTACAGATAAAGTGATTGAGACTAAAGTGGTCTGGCGGCTGTCCTGGGAGCCCAGGTGCACATCCACCATGACGTGCAGCCTGAATACTGACAGCTTACTTTCTGCTTCAAGCACAGTCAAATTAACTGACATTTAATAATGGCTAATTAATAATATTTATGCATTTACTGAAATATTAAGTGAATAGTAAATAACTAAATGGCTGTTTAGCTCATTTGGCAGGGCTGGTGGGGACTATAAGGTTCTGTAACCAAGTATGAATTCACACCAGGCACGTGGCAGTAGGCACTGCTGTATCATCGAGTGTCACAGTAACACACGTAACGTAATCACGGTGCTTCACAATCATGGATTTGTAATCATATATAAATTTTACAAACAAAGCAGTAAACCAAAACCCCCAAGAAGAAAAAAAAAGTACTTTATCAACAACTCTGAAAGAAAGGCAGTGAGAAATCACCCCAATTACTGTGACTTTGGGAAGCTGGCAGCCTAATCCCATTAGGCTTCCTGACTAAATTCCACGTCCACCATCCCCTCCCTGCGAGCCAAGTGGCCCTGGGTACCAGGAGACTGTGGGTGTTGAGATGCGGTGAGTGGGCAGGGGTCCTGGAGGGGAAGGTAAGCCCAACTGCATGGGGCCCTGAGGATGGTGGGGCCCGGAGCAAGAGGGACAGGATCCCTCCCAACTGGCATCTGGCTGGTCTCTCTGGCCAACCAGGCAGATGCTGCTGTGTCTGCCCATTTCACAGATGGCCTCCATGTCATAAGGGACATACCTCCACAGAGCTGCATGTCATAAGGGACAAAGGAAAAGAAAAAGGGAGGACCCACAATGCACAGACAAAGCTGCTGGTCAAGTTCCACATCTAGAGGTGCCAGTGGGAGCTTCAACCAAAGGATCACAGCGCTTAAAATTCTGTTTCTCTATCACAAAAGATCTGCCAGCTCTAAAAGATGGGGTTACACAATTCTGTAGATAAATTGCAGGAGAGATTAAAAAAAGAGCAAAGGGCAAGGTATCACAAAACACAGAGAAAAAAAAAAAAAAAAAAAATACCCACAAAGACTGGGAAGACAGATCCTGAAGACCTGACATGCAACCGCAGGAATCCAGGAGGCAGCTCAGGAGAAAAAGGAAGAGGACACGGAGCAACAGCAAACAACAGGAAGAACTTCCCTGATCTGAAGACAGACTACAGACGAGATGAGTCCACTAAGTTCCTGGCATGCTGATGGGAAATGAAGGCTGATGTGCACTTGCACACCCTGGAAAGTCTTGGGTTCTAACAATAATGTGAAATAGGATAGGCACACTCGTATTGACAAAGCCTATGTTGCCATGACTGGGAGCTGACGCGGTCCTAACAATGAAAGCATGCTCACATCTCCTGGGGCTCCTCCAGCGAGCCTTCCGCGGGCCTGACTTTTATGACTGTGCCGGGGGTGCAGGATTCCTGCTTGCCACCTCCAGGATCAATCTCCTCTCCTCTTTCTTTTGGATTCTCTGTGGTTGGTTCCTCTCCCTTTTCTGGTTTCTTAAGAAGCTGAGAAATTATAATGTTAGTAAAATATCACCTCAAGAGTACATTCTAAAAGAAGCTGTTAAATAATTACAAATAGACCCCAATAATGAAGCCAAATGTCTGCACAGCAAAATAATGAAAGCAGAATGTCCAAAAATGAGGTTTTTGGTTGAACACTTGGTGGAACATGCAGTGAATGAAATATTTTGTAGTCACAAAAAATAATGTAGGATAGTTAATATGATGAAAAGGTGTTCACATGATGAAAAACAGGCTAAAAACCAGAAAATGCACCACACTCCCACTTTAATTTATGTTAAAACACACACAACACTGTCTAAAGGGCTCTGCAGCACTCTGTTAACAGTGATTCTTAATTTCTTTTTTTTTTTTTTGAGATGGAGTCTTGCTCTGTCACCCAGGCTGGAGTGCAATGGCACGATCTCAACTCACTGCAACCTCCACCTCCTGGGTTCAAGCGATTCTCCTGCCTCAGCCTCAGCCTCCTGAGTAGCCAGGACTACAGGTGCATGCCAGCACACCTGGCTAATTTTTGTAGTTTTAGTAGAGATGGGATTTCCCCATGTTGGCCAGGCTGGTCTCAAACTCCTGACCTCAGGTGACCCACCTGCCTCAGCCTCCCACAGTGCTGGGATTACAGGCGTGAGCTGCTGAGCCAGGACAATAGTGATCATTGCTAGATGGCAGAACTTATATGACTTTATTTCCTTTCATCTACATGGTCTAGTTTTTCTAAAATAGACAAGTATTACTTTTGTGATAAGAAAAAAAAAAAGTTTTTTAAAGGTTGCTTCCTATTGATGATTTTTAGAATAGTTTATAGCTTTCAAAACACTGAATATTCTCTTTCTTGAAACAGAGTTAATGAGCGAGTTGCCATGACATATTTCATCTGCCCTGTCTGCCCCTGGGCCTTTCTCCCTGCTCTCTGAAGAATTTTGAACCTAAAGCACCTCAGGTAACTTGGGAAAAGAAAGAGAAAAAAAAAAAGAAATGGAAGCAGCACATAGAGTATTTGTAGAACAGAAATGGAAGGTGAACTAAGAATTGTGTTCTCACTCATAAAGTAGACATACTTTAAACTGCAGCACAGCAAGACCATACACAGACACATTCAATTACATGCATTCACTTGGGAACAAAAGGCAACATGGAAACTGCTTCTCATCAAGTGTGGGCCCTGTGTCAGCTGTGAACATCCTCTTATTCTGCCTATGTGGAATCTGGGAACTTAAACATTTCCTTCCTAGTAACTGTCCATCCTTTTTTTTTTTTTTTTTTTTTTGGGAGGGAGTCTCGCTCTGTCATCAGACTGGAGTGCAATGCGCAATCTTGGCTCACTGCAATCTCCGCCCCCAGGGTTCAAGCCATTCTCCTGTCTTAGCCTCCCAAGTAGGCACGCACCACCATACCTAGCTAATTTTTGTATTTTTAGTAGAGATGGGGTTTCACCATGTTGGCCAGGATGGTCTCGATCTCTTGACCTCGTGATATGCCTGCCTTGGCCTCCCAAAGTGCTGGGATTACAGGTGCGAGCCACTGTGCCCAGCCCTATCCATCTTTTAAAACAACAGTGGCATTAATACGTTTGTAATAAATGCAAGCCATAGGGAAGTGCAACAATCTCCATCTACCCATTCAACAAATGTTCTGTGTGCCTAGGAACTGTTCTCACAACATTTCTGATACTGCATATCCTTTTCAATACCACATCTCCAACATCAGGTGCATGCTCCACATTCAACTCAACTCTGAGACCACTGACCTGGAGTTAGCACCAGACCCCATAAGGCAAGGGCTCAGTCCCACAAGACTGCCCTTCCTTTCAGATGACAGTTCCAAGTCCCAGTGTGTCACCGGTACTTCTGACCAACCAGCAGTAAATTCAGGAGTTCCTGATGGCCTCTCCTCAGATTTGTTAAGTTGCTGGAATGGCTCACAGAACTCAGAAAGGCACTATACTCTCGATTATTGGCTTATCATAAAGGATACAACCTAGAACAGCCAAATGGAAGACATGCACAAGGTGGGCATGGGGTATGGTGTGGTGGTCCTTGGAGCTTCCATGCGTAACCCTCCCAGTACCTTGATGTGCTCACCAACCCAGAAGCCTCATCTTTAGGCATTTTTAAGGTTTCACGACACGGGTTTGATTAAGTCATCGACCACTGGTGATTACCTCTCTCTAGGCCCTCTGTCCTCTTGGAAGCTAGGTTGGGACTGAAAGAGTCCCAACCCTCTAGTCCTGCATTGGTCTTTCTGGCAACTAGTCCCCATTCTGAAGCTGCCAGTCCTCTCATTGCCATATAAGATACTCATATTACTGCAGATTCTCGGGGTTTGAGGAGCTGCGTGCAGGAAGCAGGGTCTAAGACCCTGTGCTAGGCACTAGGGAAATGGCTGTCAGGCCTGATGCTCCACCTGAGGCAATGGTGGTCAAGGGGGAATGCTGTAAATAGTGGCAAAAATAGGAGAAAAGAAACAAAGGAACAAGATAATCTCAGGTAGCATCAAAGGCTACGAACACATACAAAGGGAGAGTAAAGCAGCAGAGACACAGGGAGATGGGAAGAGGAGGGTCCACTGCAGAGCCAAGATCTAAGACCAGATGCTGAGGAGCAGCCATGGGCACATCTGGGGAAGTCCCCGTGGAGAAAAACGTGCAGAGGCCTGAGGTAGAATCCGCTGGTGCATTCAGGAGAAAACAGCAGCCAGGGCTGCTGGAGATGAGCTGGAGAGGCCTGCTCTGCCATGCCCTGCAAGGCTTCTGGAGGCCAACCGGAGTGCATAGGCAGCTGGGCTCCCTCCCAGCCCTGGCCTGTGTGGCCACACATAAGCTCACTGCTTACCATCCTCAGAAGAACATTAAACAGCTGAGCTGTTCTGTGTGCCGTATTTCTCTTTAAAAATAGCCATGAGGGCCGGATGTGGTGGCCTGCGCCTCTCTAATCCCAGCAGCGGGACGATCACTTGAGCCCAAGAGTTCATGAACAGCCTGGGCAACACAGTGAGAGCCCCATCTTTACAAACTTTTTTTTAAAAATTAGCTATTCAGGTGTGGTGGCGTACCCCTGGAAAGAGAGGCTGAGGCAGGAGGATTACTCGAGCCTGGGACAGAGAGGCTATAGTGAGCTGTGATTCTGCACCACTAAACTCCAGCCTGGGTGACACATAGAGACCCTGTCTCAAACCGTCCCCAAAAAACCAAACAAAAAAAATAGCAGAGCAGCCATGAGCCATCTGTCTTTCAATCTTTAAGCTCTTGATACAATCTAAAAGGAAAGTTGGAAAGTTGAAAAAAAAAAAAAACGGACAGTGTCAGCAGCAGCCCGACGTGTGCCAGCGTGGGGCTCCTGTGGGGGTGTACTCAGTGCACATCCAGGAGGACAGGCGCCCAACAACAGCCTGAGGACTCCCAGGGCTCAGGACGCGCTGTGAAAGCCACTGCTGTGACATAGAAAGAAAGGGTTTGTAACAACACAGTATTACATTAATTCAAAATGTTCTCAAAATTCTAAAGAGCTAAGATGTGTGAAAAGGATAATAACTATAGCAGAACTACTGGGAAAAGAAAATAAAATATTTCCTCACAATTACCTTAATCCTTACTTCTTTCTCTGCAGTTTTCTTCTGTTTATCTGTCTCCCTTTTTTTGCATCTTTCTTCTTCTCTTCTTCTTCTTTTCTCTTCTTCCCGCAAGCGTTTCTTTTCTAACTCTCTCCTCCTCCGTTCTTCTCGCTTCTCTTCCCGAATTCTCTAAAGACATGGAAGAATGTGTGTACGGACTGACTGGATGAGAATGGCAGCAGCAGGGAGGGTGTCCATCAGGTAAAGGGCAGACCTACCTGCTTTTCTAATTTTCTATTTTTAATATATTCCAAAAGAGGTGTGGTTCTTCTAGCTAAAACACAAAAATTGTAATGTAGTATTTAACTCCTAAAGAACAATTTATTTTAAATACTTGTTTTCAATTTAATCTTTAAAATAAATAGGGTAACAATATTATTACTTTTTAAATTTAACATGACCACACACTGTCTCCAGGGGAGAGTTTTTATTCCATTACTATCAAGTAATTTGAAACTATCAACAATTTTATATGTAGTAGATATCTAATTCCTGATTCTTAAGGGAGGGTTAAAATACTACACAGGTGATATTTTCATAGATACCTTAAGTCATTAACATATATTTACTTTGATACATCACATACTCTGAGAATTTTCTCGTTTTCCGTTCTCCAAGTGACGGTTTTAAGAAACATGGATTTTGGTAATGTCTTATAATACATACTCCATAAAATCATAATGATAAGACACAACTCTGGACTGCAGTTTAGAAAAGGACTCCACATGGTGCTGTTGATTTCTGAAATGATGCCAACTACTAGGGAACTGCTCAGATCTGACCTGGATGTGAGTGCCCAGGCAGGCTGGAGGCCCCATAGGCACTGCTTCAGAGGGACTCTCGCTCAGGGGGTGGGGCCCCATGTCCTGCCAACACAAGGACACAGATGGGAAGGGGGAAGATGGTCTGGATTTATTCTGCAGGTCTGTAAGATCTCAGACTAAACAGGGTTGGGAAGAATCCCTGGATGTGCCTGTAAACTGACATAGCATCTCTGGAATTCTGAGGAACAGGTATGAATCAGGAATCATAGCAGAAACGCTGGCCGGGGATCCCTCACTTAGAACTGAGGATCCCTGACACCTTGACATCACGGATCAAATGGCACCTGTCCCAGGAGCCCTGCCCCAGGCATGGTGGCTGTAGGGAAGAGCTGATGCGGCTGCAAATGCCACATTTCATGGCAGTCACAGTGGCCACAGAGAACCCACTCCCCCCAGGGGTCCCTGGGCAGACAACTAACTCTGGCTCAAGGTGAATACAACTCACTGGCTCACATAAAATGATCAGCTCTTTGTAATGGGCAAATTCTCTCAAATCAACCAGGGGTCTGCTCTGCTCTGTGAAGGCCTGGACTTGTCAGCCAGGAGCAGGGTAAGACCACCCAGATGCACAGGGAGACTGACCCCAGACTCCACCTGCCTGTCTTCCTCTTCCTACAAAATGCCTGCTCCATCACCCACAGGGATCACAGGAAAAGTACATGAGACCTGAGTAAGAAAGTGTTTTACACATCATAAAAATATGTTATTTATCAGACAGAATATGCATGACCAAGCAACAGAACACAAGTAAACAGAAGTCTCAGAGCTGAACCCAGGCAGCCTGCTCTAAAGGTCTATGCACCAGACTAACTCAACAACTCCAGAGTCCTTGCCAGTAAGATTTTATTCATATTCCATTTAACACTTGCTTCTTAGATCTGTTCAGAAGAATCCACTGGAGGCCAAAACCTAAGAAAAGGGGAATTTGCCATGAATTGCCTGATTAAGGTTACATTTTTAATATGCAGAAACAGCAAACACAGAAACAAGGAAGGCTTTACAGCCAAGTCCTAGAATGAATTAATCGCTCCCATCAGGGACAGTGGATTCTAAGCCACATTCATTCATTCAGTCAGTATTTGTGAAGCACTGGCTGTGCAGCAGATTCTGGGGGATACCACCCCGACCCTCCCGCAGCCCCTACAGGAGTAGCAAGTCTGACCTAAAAAGATATGTCTCAAAACAGCCCCAAAGTAATCGATCCTATAGAAGGAGACATTTAAAACAAAGTGAGAAGGAAATGGGAGGCCTGTAATTAACATCTAATTTGCTTTTTCTAGCTCTTCTTAAATTTAACAAGTTCTAAAGCGAAATCTCGACTTTGCTCCCAATACTGTCCTACCTGCATCGACCCTTGTGTGTAATGGTGCCACAATCCGCTCATCTACTCAAGCCAAACCTTGGAGTCTTAATTTTTCCTGTTCCCTAACCTGCCACACCCAATCCATTTGTTAGTCCTGTCCAGTCCATCTCCGAAACACATGCTCATCTCTTGGCATCCACAATCTATTCTGTGTGGCACCACCAGAGTGATGGGGACAATAATCAGACCATGCCACTCCCCCAGTGGCATCCAGTTGCCCTGGAATGAATCTAAACCTCTTGCGCAGCACCCCCACCCTCCAACCAAGCTGCCCTCACCCATGCACGCCAGCCCCACAAGCCTGCACTCTGCATCTGAAGTGAAAAGCGCCAACCCCCGGCCACGCCCTTGGCACGTCCTTCCTCACTACTCAGCGCAGCCAGTCTCAGTCATCTCCCAACCTCTTTCCCTCCTGCAGCCAGTCCCACTTCCAGCTCCACCACCATCTCAGAGGGAGTCTCCTGACCTTCCCCTCCCATATGCCATTTGGTTATATCAGTGGCACTGATTACAAACCGCAGTGCCCGGCTGGGCTACTCCCACTCCTGCTTCTGACCTATTGTGCCCGATGGCAGGCAGAGGCCTTGTGTGACCTGTTTATCATTCAGCCCCATGACGAGGCCCAGAGTCAGTGCCCAGGCAGCATGCAGCCTCAGCACATCTTGTTTACTTTAGTGATCAAAAGCTTTATTATGGCCGCGCACAGCAGCTCACACCTGTAGTCCCAGCACTTTGGGAGGCCGAGGTGGGCAGATCGCCTGAGGCCAGGAGTTCAAGACCAGCCTGGCCAACATGGTGAAACCCTCTCTCAATTAGCCAGGCACGATGGCATGTGCCCTGTAATCCCAGCTTGTGGGCATCGGGTGGAAGGCTGGATTTAAACCCGACTGTGCTCTGGCTGGGCTTATCCATGAGATGAGTTGGCTTGGCTTGGCTTGGCTTGGCTTGGCTTGGCTCAGAGAGCCTGGCATTTGTTTGGAACAGAAGCAAGATGACCTCGCCATGAGCAAAACACCTCCTGAGGCATCAAACTGTGACCACTGACTTCCACTCTGTAACACAATACTCCTTCCATGAAGCTGTCAGGCACACACCATTCATGTGTCTTCTCCACTGCTCATTTGGAAACATCAGAACTTAAAATGATTATACCTAAAAAAAATCAGGTGCTCTCCATCAAACAATGCTCAGAAATATTTTCCCATGTGGCCATTTTGCCATCTTTTTGTCAAAACTGCTAAGTACTCTACATTTCTGCTGAGCCTGTAACAAGTTTCAACTTGTTATCACAATCAAGAAAAAGAAGGAAACCGTATATTCTCTACGAGTAAATCTCTCAATAAAGAAAAGAGAAGAAATGAGCAAAACAGACCAATGAGTTCTCTTGTCTTCGCCTCCATTTCCCCCAGGAGAATCTCAGGGTTGGTGCTGGTCTTCTCTTCCTCCACACAGTAGGTTTCTAAAAACTTCTTATATTCTGGATCTATACATTAAAAAGACAGAAAGAAAAAAGTGCAATCTTTTCCAACTACAGGAGAATTAATTTGCTCAGTGTTCTTACCTTGGCAGCTTCATAATGTAGCACGTGGAAAGGGCTCACCGTCTTCGATGCTTCCAGTCTTGGCATCTTTCTTTTTCAGCTTCTTTTTGGCTATCTTCTGGAATGGAGCAAACTCTACCACTGCAGGATATTCTAGGCCTTTAACAGGAAACAGATTTCAGAAGCCATTTTGAAATTCAACATTCATTTTGGAAAATAATGACCTAGCTTACTTAAAGAATAAGTGTAGGCTGGGTGCGGTGGCTGATGCCTGTAATCCCAGCACTTTGGGAGGCCAAGGCAGGTGAATCATGAGGTCAGGAGTTCAAGACCAGCCTGGCCAACATGGTGAAACCCCATCTCTACTAAAAATAACAAAAAAATAGCTGGGGAGTGGCGGGCGCCTGTAATCCCAGCTATTCAGGAGGCTGAGGCAAGAGAGTCACTTGAGCCTGGGAGGTGGAAGTTGCAGCGAGCTGAGATCATACCACTGCACTCCAACCCTGGCAACAGGGCTCAAAAAAAGAGTAAGTATAACGATGACAATGTATTAGTACTATTTAAACTATAATTCATCCTTCCAGTAAGAGATAAAAAAATAAAAGATAAAAAACCCTGGCCAGGCGCGGTGGTCACGCCTATAATCCCAGGACTTTGGGAAGCCGAGACGGGTGGATCACGAGGTCAAGAGACCGAGACCATCCTGGTCAACAAGGTGAAACCCCGTCTCTACTAAAAAAATACAAAAATTAACTGGGCATGGTGGTGTGTGACTGTAGTTCCAGCTACTCGGGAGGCTGAGGCAGGAGAATTGCTTGAACCCAGAAGGCAGATGTTGCGGTGAACCAAGATCATGCCATTGCACTCCAGTCTGGGTAACAAGAGCGAAACTCCATCTCAAAAAAAAAAACAAAACCCTGCAATTTGATTACATTTCCAAGTACCTGCAACCTTAGCATGGCAAACTCCAGACTTAAACAAGGATGAACTCACAGTAGGAAGAACAATTATTTATTTCACAAAACAATTCATCATGTTGTGGTGTTGGTTACATAACTGAATTCGTTCAAAATTCATCAAATTGTTCACCTTAAAAGTGTGACTTTTACCGTATGTAACTTACACCTCAATAAACCTGACCTCCCTAGCCCCATCCCAAATAATTTATTGTTGGAATACCTTTAAATAATCCGATTTCTTAGTTACATTTTACATTTGATTTTAAAAGGTTAATTCAACTATCAATCTGTTACATAAGTTCAAGGGAATTACTTTGCTTAGAAGACACAATAGCTAAAAGAGAGGGCTTCAAAGGGTTTACAGTATATTACAGGAGAAACTTGCTTCCAATAAAAGCAGAGAGTAGAAGTGATAAGAAACTGACTTTGCTGCTCTATGGGGGAAAAACAAATACACAGAGAAATGTTCACTAAGAGAACCTGCTATCTGCTGACTCATCAACAGAACACTGCTACCTTGGTACTAAACCCACCGCATCATCATTTTTAGATGTCAGTAATGGTTAGGTGACTGAATTCTAACTCCTTTATCTGGGAGATCTTTTTTGTGCTAACCTGCACTATCCAGAATAAAGTCAAGAATCTGGGGACTGTAGAGCACTGGACCCGCAGGGATGATGTCCAACCTACTGCTCCACCCACAAGGCCTAGCACACAGTGGATACTCATTCAATGGCAGATGACATGCTCCGCTGAGTGTGGTACTGCCATACAGACAGACACATCCACCAGTGGAATAAAATAGCCCAGAAATAAACCTTTGTAATATCTGGCCAACTGATTTTTGAAAAGGCTGCCCAGACCATTCAATGGGGAAAATAAAGTCTTTTCATTTTATTTTTATTTTTCGGAGGAGTCTCGCTCTGTTGCCCAGGCTGGAGTGCAATGGCACGATTTTGGCTCACTGCAACCTCAGCTTCCTGGGTTCAAGCAATTCACCTCAGCTTCCTGAGTAGCTGGGATTACAGGCACCTGCCACTACACCTGGCTAATTTTTGTATTTTTAGTAGATGGGGTCTCACCATGCTGGCCAGGCTGGTCTTGAACTCCTGACCTCAGGTGATCTGCCCGCCTTGGCCTCACAAAGTGCTGGGATTACAGGCGTGAACCACCATGCCTGGCCAAAGGAAGTCTTTTCAACAACTTGTGCTGGAAAAACTGGATAGCCACAGCCAGAAAAATGAAGTTGTATACCTAATACCATATACAAAAATTACCTCAAAATAGATCAAACCTAAATATAAGACATGAAACCATAAAACACAAGGAAAAAAGACACAGGGGAAAAGCTCCATGGCAATGAACCTGGCAATGAGTTACTACATATGACACCAAAAGCACAGGCTTAGGCCGGAGACCATAAAAACAACAGCAGGGCTGCGGCTCACACCTGTAACCCAGCACTTTGGGAGACCAAGGTGGGAGGATTGCTTGAGCCCAGGAGTTTGATACCAGCCTGGGCAACACAGCAAGACCCTATCTCTACTTAAAAAACAAACACATTGCTTATACCCATTACCTGAGATAGTATAAAAGAAAAACAAATGACAGTGACAACAGAGTAGTACTGGCAACTAAGAGAACTGTCTGGGCCCCTTGCTCGCTACTGCTGGGAACGTAAAATGCCGCAGTCAGCACGATCTCGGCTCACTGCAACCTCTGCCTCCCAGGTTCAAGTGTTTCTCGTGCTTCAGCCTCCGGTAGCTGAGATTACAGGCATGCACCATGATGCCCAGCTAATTTTTGTATTTTTAGTAGAGACAGGGTTTCTCCATGTTGCCGAGGCTGGTCTTGAACCCCTGATCTCAGGTGATATGCCCACCTTGCACTCCCAAAATGCTGGGATTACAGGAGTGAGCCATTCTATCTGACCATGTTACATATATTTTACCACTATTTTTTGAAAATAAAAAAAGGAAGCTGAATAAAGTATGAATAAATGAGCAATGAACACAAAGGTCAGATAGCTCAGTTCAAGTATCACACTTGCTTCTAGTACTGGAACTAGCTTGGCTATTACTTGGTTACTCTGTAACAATCTTTCTAGTGTTTACCCCTAAGTGGAGAAAAAGAAAACACTCATCAGTGTCAGGAACAGGTGGAGAGGGAAGAGGGTGGCTGGGGAGGGGAGGGCAGAAAACAACTTGCTGTGAAAGGCACACAGACTTGACAGCCAGGGTTAGGGTGATGGTTAGGGTTAGGGTTCCCAACGGCAGACAGCCTGACAGGAGAAGAAGGGAAAAGATCAAAGCAGAACGCTAGAAGTAGTGGGAAGGGAACTACTGAAATAAGAGGTGAAGACCACTGTCCCCGCAGGCAAAGCTGTTGAACAGCAGTGACTCCTTGATGACATTCTCATAAATGGTACAGTCATGAAGGGTGCTGTTTAGGAAGACAGAAGTCAGTGTACATTTTAGAAAATTCCTATCAAACAGGTAATTTACTTTTAGAACCTAAAAAGATAAAGTTCTCTCATGCAGAAAACTCACTCATTAAAACTTTCATTCGCTGATGATACATACATAATACATATATAGGCTGTTACACAGAATTTCAAGAATTCTTTTGATTTAAATAAAATTAAATAATTTTAAGTTTTAATATCTCCACATACAGTAATATAATGAAATTTCTCTTATTTTAGTTGAATAACTTTTTAATTAAAATGCACAAATGGGCCAGCTGCTGTAGCTACATGCCTGTAATCCCAGCACTTTGGGAGGCTGAGGTGGGAGGGTCACTTTAAGCTAGGAGTTCAAGACCACTGTGTTGCCTGGGCAACACAGTCAGACCCCCCTTCCAGTCTCTACAATTTTTTTTTTTAATCAGCCAATCATGGTGGCGGACACCTGTGGTCCCAGCTACCTGGGAGGCTGGAGGATCACTTGAGCCCAAGTGTGAGGCTGCAGTGAGCCATGATTGTGGCCACTGCACTCTTACCCTGGGAGAAAGAGCAAGATCCTGTCTCAAAAAATGAAAAAGAAAAAAAAAGATCAGGAGAATTCTAGTAATACTTCATTAGCATACCTACAGATTATAATAGATTTTGAAAAACCAATGATCTAACCTTTGCTGTCAAGGAAGACATATCCATCAAAACGATCTCTAAAAAGAAGGATGTCATCAGGATTCCTAAAATTAATGTATGCTCTTGAATAGAGATGAGGATAAAGGCTGAAATAAGAAACAACCGTGAAAATCGTTAGTGAAAAATACCAGACTCCATTAATTTAGTCTCTTTTTCCTTTTCTGGACACAACAAACTACTTTAGATAAAACTTTTGTGCCGAAGAGTCACCTCAGTTAATTGTAATAACTTGGATATTCTTTAGCAAAAAGAAACGCAAATGTTAACTGAAACTGCTTTAATAAGAGGGAGAACTCAGGTCCCGTCTCCACTGCCCAGAACCGGTCTTCGGAGGCTGAAATCCTAAGGCAAGGCCAGAGCCCACTTCCAGAGGAACCCGTGGCGCCGAGAGAGTCTCCTGTCTGGTATTTATTTATTCACTTATTTAACATTTTTTTTTTTTTTTTTTTTGACAGAGTCTCGTTCTGTCACCCAGGCTGGAGTGCCGTGGCGCGATTTCGGTCACTGTAACCTCCGACTCCCAAGTTCAAGTGATTCTCCTGTCTCAGCCTTCCGCGCAGCTGAGACTACAGGAACACACCACCATGCTCATCTAATTTCTGTATTTTTAGTAGAGACGGGGTTTCATCCTGTTGGCCGGGATGGTCTCGATCTCCTGACCTCAGGATCCGCCCGCCTCGGCCTCCCAAAGTGCGGGGACTGCAGGCGTGAGCCACGCGCCCGGCCCCTGCGGGCATTTAAAACCGCACTGGCTGTGGCACCGGCGCCCCCTCCGAGTCCGAGCAGGGAGGCCAGGGAGGCGCTGGGCGGGCAAAGCTGGTCCTCTAACGGCACGCGTGTTTCTAAGCGTTAGCCGCCTGAAATCACCCGCATTTTTTATGTAAACCGCGTCTGTGTTTGCTTGGTGGTGACAAGTTTCTCTGAAAGAACTGACACTTTTTACTGAAATGGATTTATTCAAAAAGCTCCCACGACTCCCATAAAGGCAAAATCAGGGTGAGGTACGCGGGGCCGCGAGACCCGCGCGCAGCGCTCCGGCTCCGCCCTCCGCCCCCACCTCTGGGCGGGCCCTAACCGCCGCCTCCCCGGCTACACTCGCGCGCGTCTCCGCGGGGCGGGCCTCACCTCAGGTCGGCGGCGAAGAACTCGAAGTAGTCGTGAGCGGGCAGGGGGTGCAGCTGCTCCTCCAGCTGTTCTTTGGTGAGGCCCGGCGGCAGGCGGCGAATGACCACCTGCGGGAAGCGAGCGGCCGTTCCCACCGCGGCAGGATAGGGACTTGGCGCCCCGGTTCCACCGCGTACCGCGCTGGGGGCCCGGGCCCCGCCTCTCCCGGCTCCCGTGCCCCTCCCCCTCCGCTCAGGACCGTCCTCTCCTCGCGAGGTTTGCGCGCCCCGCCCCCGTCCCCACCTTGCTCAGGGCCGTCCTCTTCTCCTCGCGAGGTTTGCCCGCACCGCCCCCACAACCGGAGGACGAGGTTGGCGGCGTCTCCGGCTGTCGCTGCGGCGAGTCGCGGTAGAACTGCACCTCTACGGCCGACGGCTTCTCTCTCCCGCTCGGGCCCCGCGCGGCAGCGGCCGCCCTGGGGCCTCCAGCCCCCTCCTTTTCCGAGCGCATCCCGCACCCGTCGCCGAGCCGCCGCCGCCTGACGCCCGGCGAAACCTCGCGAGAGCTCGGCCGCCCCCGCTCCGCCCCGCCCCTTCCCGGACCGCGACGCTCTGGGCCACCCACCAAGGGGCCAGGGCGCTGCGGGACGTGTTGGGGGTCTGGGTTAGGACCTCGGGGGCGAGTGGCCCCTCACGGAGCGGTGGCGGCAGCTTAGGGTGGTCTATTGGCCGGGCGCTGCCCCAAGACCCCGCGATCCTGCAGTGGTGGGAGGAGATCGCGGATCGCCGGCCCTCCCAGCCAGCACCGTTTTTAGCCCACTCCTCCAGGATGCCCGTGGCCGGCGCGCTCTCCAGGCCGGGTTCGCATTTGCACGTATTTTTTTTATAAACAGGCAGCAGCACTTCGATTAGAGTAACTTATACGGAAGTTATTTTAAAAACACTTTCCCATTGTCTAAATGTGGGCTGTATTTTTCATCTACAGCACGCTTTGACTCAAGAATCTCAAGCACACACCGGAAACTAGAATAAAATTACTGAGACTTGAACATCCAGAGACCAAGGGCGTCACTGGCAGAAAAGCGGAGGCGAATCCGAACTCCAGGATGCAGCCGCTCCTTACACGGATCCACGGCGAGAGCCGCCCCGCCCAGAGACGTGGCTTCCTAGGAGCAGTTCACACGCAGCTCTGCAGCAGCGACAAGCGGGGCCGGGGGGGCTGTTTTCGGAGTTCACAGTCTACAGAGATCTTAGCAAAAACACGCCCATGGTCCTTAAGGGTGCCTACACCAGGCTTTTGTCACAACTCAGTGACTAGGAAGACTAGGTAGGGTGATCAAAAGCTCTGACGATGTGTGTGATTAAAAGTAGGAAAATGTGGTCGCCAGATAAAATGTTGTAACATATAGTGGGGCGGGAGGGGGGGAAGATAGGGATAAAAAATGTGGAAACCATTTATTTTAAAATTTTGAATGTTCCTGCAGTCTTCATATATTCTGATTATCTTTAGAAAGAAACTGCTCTCAATCTATTTATGTCTTCCCTTTAGTTTTAAAATATTAAACAATCATCTAACTTACTATTTTACCTCTAGTCATGTTACTAGGTTGGGATAATAAAAAGGACAGTGAACTTCACATTTGCTATCTGTAACAGATTCTTATTGAAGCAATTTTGCACCAAGAGGATTTCTTACTCAGCCAAAATTACCAAATGGAGAAAAGAGCTGGTCCCACCTCTCACCAGGCACAACCATGTAAAGTGACTTAGGGTAATTCTCGTGTTCATGCTTTGCCCTCACCACTGCAAAGCCCTGTCCTGGTGCCTCTGCACATCTCTCTGAAGCCAGGTTGACCTCAGGCAACGTGAGGGGCCCTTCATTTGACCTTCCCCAGAACCTTGAGCATCTCCACTTTTCTCTTCACTGCACCGTATACCTAATGCTGGATGCGTATATTTTGTAAATTTAGCAAGCAAAATGCCCAAATGTTTTTCCCCCAAGTCAACTTTTTAACACCCTTCTGATTCTTTACTTCCTGTTATTGCAAAGTTCTAAAAAAATAATTTCAAAAAAAATGGCAGGATTTTAGAATTCAGCTGACGAATATCTTTAAATGAAATCTTACATGAATTTTAAGATACAGCGAATTAAATACACTTGTAAAATAGCTTATGATGTTACATGACAAATTATATCACAATCTAGTTTCCTACACATCAGCCAGCTTGTTGAAATGCTGTTTGATACATGCACAGAACTTTACAGCCAAAGCAATGCAGGAATAAACAACCTCCAAACGTGAGAATGATGGTGGTATGTAACTTTACTTTTGCTTAACTGAACACTTCCATCTGTGAATGTGGCCCCGGGCTACATTTTACTTGGTAGCCCCTATCTCATTGGTAGATGACAGTGACTTGAAGAAGCTGCTGACCAGAAGCTGGTGACTTCCAAGTGTTTCCTTTAAGGATGACACGGCCACTGTAGTTAGCAAGGACACCTTTTTAGGAAACTGTCAGGAGATACTAGATAATTGGGCAGTAACAGGAACAGCACTTGGCAGTATGACGACACATTCTTTTTACTCTGAGGCGTTAACACTGCTGCTGAGGAGAATTCCAGCTTAGTCAAGTGTCTGAACCTTTTCCCTTTTATGACTTAAAGCACTGTCAACAGAGTAATGGTTCACCTAGAAATCCAAAAAATCCTAACAGTGATCAATGAGAAAATGAAATGATTTTTTTTTTTTGGCTCTGGCAGGCAAAATATATGTAAAAAATTCAGCACTTTATTAATAGACTACTTTCATTTTAGTTATTTTAAACATAATTAAGTTCAGTCACTTGATTTTCTAGCCCCAGCTCAAGACAGGGGAGGCATAATGTCTGACAGAAAAGCCATTTAAAAATGAAAACATGAAAATGCATTAGTTTGAGTCTAATTTAGCATGGGGTAACCTATGGTCTCTAAGTGTATTACTACGTTAACTTCCAGTGCAATACCTGACTTTCACCATAAGTGGAGAGGAGACGGGGTCTGAATGCTGGTCTTCAACACACAATGTTACCAGACCCTCATCCGTATGAAGGGGAACAAAGCCCTCCTCAAAAGACTTACTCAAGTTAACACCTGGGGATGCCCAAGAAATGAACGCGATTATTGTTCTGCTTCAGAAGGCAGAAATACAGGGGACACACTTCAGATAGGTTAAGACAAAAAGTTTTGTGTTTAAGGCAGCACTTCAGTTGCCTGAAAATTCACTTCTGCATAATGCCTAATTTTTTAATGATGCTGTGAATAGATGTTTTGTAAAAACTATTTTTCTTTTTTTTTTTATGAAAAAAGAGTAATGTGTCCTCTGACATTAGGACTAGGAGAGTTTGAAAAAAAGGACTTTTTTTTTTTTTTTTTTTTGAGACAGAGTTTCGTTAGTTACCCAGACTGGAGTGCAATGGTGCGATCTCGGCTCACCGCAACCTCCGCCTCCTGGGTTCAAGCTATTCTCCTGCCTCAGCCTCCCAAGTAGCTGGGACTACAGGTGCGTACCACCATGCCCAGCTAATTTTTGTATTTTTAGTAGAGACGGGGTTTCACCTTGTTGATCAGGATGTTCTCGATCTCTTGACCTCGTGATCCACCCGCCTCGGCCTCCCAAAGTGCTGGGATTATAGGCGTGAGCCACCGTGCCCAGCCAAAAAAAGGACTTTAAACAAATGGAGTATATAATCCTATCTCTTTATTAGAATGATGAAAAGAATGGGGGTGTTCTCTGCTTACACAGTTACCACCTAGGAGTCATAACAAAATTCTTTTGCTAATCACAGTGAATAGGTTAAAAAAAGTTTAAAAATTATAGATTTGGTAAAATTGTCTTCTATCACCTTTTTAACATAAAAATTTTTAACATATCTTTTCAGGCCGGGTGCTATGGCTGATGCCTATAATCCCAGCACTTTGGGAGGCTGAGGCGGGTTCATCACTTGAGGTCAGTAGTTCAAGATCAGCCTGGCCAACATTTAGTAGAGATGGGTGTGGTGGCATGAGCCATCTCTACTAAAATTAGAGATGGCTAATTTTATAGCCATCTATACTAAAAATTAGCTGTGTGTGGTGGCATGAGCCTGTAATCCCAGCTACTGAGGAGGTTGAGACAGGAGAATTGCTTGAGCCCGGGAGGTGGAGATTGCAGTGAGCCAATATCATGCCACTGCACTCCAGCCAGGGCAACAGTGAGACTCTGTCTAAAAAAACAAAACAAATTTTAACATATCTTTTCACAAAATCAATCACCAGTCAAATGTGTAAAACTATGTAAGAAATTTTCCTTCTTGACTCCGATAAAAATGGGGCATCATTTCCATCTGTTCTATCATGGCTGATTTTAGATGTTCCTACAAAACAGGTAATCTAGCTATGACATATTTTAAATCTCATTACTGATAGACACCTGCTTATTTCACAGATTCAGTTTTCAATATTATGTGAGAAAACTGCAGATGATGTTAAAACAATATAATAAAAACAGGCCAAGAGAGCCTATTACATTTACCAACAGTTAAAAGGATATGTCACCAAATTAGTATGTGAGAAAATAGGTAAAATTCAAATTCTTTATCTTATACACACCAGGAGGTAGATGTTATAAAGAATAGTGAATCACATTTATTTTATAGGACACAATTATAATTTAGCACCAATAGCTGTTCAATTCTTTGGGCTTTTTAAAGCGTCACAAAATGTATTAACAGTCACCTGAGTTTGTTATCTTAAATACTATGACTTTCAAAAGTTTAAATGAATTTTGATAAGTACTGTAAACCATTTTGTATGACTATCATTGATATATATATATATATATATATTTTTTTTTTTGAGATGGAGTCTTGCTCTTGTTGCCCAGGCTGGAGTGCAGTGGCATAATCTTGGTTCACTGTAACCTCCGCCTTCCAGGTTCAAGTGATTCTCATGCCTCAGCCTCCCGAGTAGCTGGGATTACAGGCACCTGCCACCACGCCTGGCTAATTTTTACATATTTTTAAGTAGAGATGGGGTTTCACCACGTTGTTCAGACTGGTCTCAAACTGGTGACCTCATGATCTGCCAGCCTCGGCCTCCCAAAGTGCTGGGATTACAGGTGTGAGCCACCGTGCCCAGCCAGCTATAGTTTGTTTTTTTGTTTTTTTTTTTTTTTAAATATATGACTAATAGCTATAGTTTTAAAAAACAGAAGTGACGTCACAGAAAATAGCAGGGCAGGAAGCTTCAGGGATTGATTGGTTCTTCCACCAAAACCATTAAGCAGGACAAAAATATTGGCAGAATCAACTGTTTTCTAACATCTGTCACGTAATCAGGTGCTTATTGCAACCAGGGGCAGGCTTGATGATGCAGAGGCTGCAGCTCTTTATTAAGAAGGTGGTGTGGGTGGGGAGCCTACCTACCTGCTACAGCCTGTTCTCAGCAAGGACTCTGGGCATTTGGTCAGTATGGTGGTGCCCTGAGGGACCAGCATTGATGCATGCCTTTGTTTCCACCCTGGCAGGCTGCAGCAATTTCCCCAGTACCATCAGAAAATTAGAGACACTTTTTCTTATAAAAAAGATCCAGATACTGAACCCAGCGTGGGTACTCAGGCCTGTAATCCCAGAACTTCAGGACACTGAGGCGAGAGGATCGCTGGAGCCCTGGAGTTCAAGACTAGCCTGTGTAACATAGTGAAATCCCGTCTCTACATAAATAAAAATAAATAAATTAGCCAGGTGTGGTGGTGCATTCCTGTGGTCCTAACAACTCAAGAGGTTGAGGCAAGAGGATCCCTTGAGCCCAGGAGTTGGAGCCTGTAGTGAGCTATGATTGTGCCACTGCACTCTAGCCTAGGTGACAGAGTTAGACCCCAACTCAAAGAAGAAGATCCAGACATTTAAGGAAATCTCTGTCAGGTTACAGACTGACCAGAGAGACAATAAAAAGATGAGTGAATTTTCTAAGTTATTTGGCAAAGTCTGTATTCCTGAACTAATATCTGGGCTTCCTCAGTGACAGTGTCTGTCATATTCCTTTTCTTCCCATAAGTCAGCCATATTTTCCATTTTGTTTGCTTTGTAATTTTGTATTGAGGACTGTTTGAATATGACATAGTAGCTCTGGAAATTAGATTATCCCTCTCCTCAGGGATTGGTTCTGTTACTTGTTGAGGGCTGCAGTTCATTTGTATAGTGAATTTTCTAAGTTATTTTTGCAAAGTCTGTATTCCTGAATTCATCTCCATAGCATAAAAAGTGCAAGATGAAAAAGCAAAGTGCTGATGGAGAAGCCATCCAGATGATCTAACAAAGATAATTCATGAAGGTGGCTCCACTGAACAACAGGTGTTCAATGCAGACAAAACAGCCTTACATTGGAATGTGATGCCATCTAGGACTTTCACAGATGAAGAGAAGTCAATGCCTTGTTTCAAAGAATAGGCTAACTTTCTAGGGACTAATGCAGCTGGAGGCTTTAAACTGAAGCCAGTGCTCATTCACATTGTGAAGAAAATCTGAGAGCTAAGTCTACGCTGCCTGTGCTCTATGAATAGAAACAGTATGGATGGCAGCACATCTGTTTACAGTAGGGTTTACTATTTTAAGCCTACCCTTCAGGCTTATTGTTCAGAAAAAAAATTCTTTTCAAAATACCACCACTCATTGCCAGGTGCGGTGGCTCACGCCTATAATCCCAGCGCTTTGGGAGGCCTAGGTGGGTGGATCACGAGATCAGGAGTTCCAAGAACAGCCTGACCAACATGGTGAAACCCTGTCTCTACTAAAAATACAAAAATTAGCTGGGCGTGGTGGCGTGCACCTGTAATCCCAGCTATTCAGGAGGCAGAGGCAGGAGAATCACTTGAACCTGGGAGGCAGAGGTTGTGGTGAGTTGAGATTGTGCCACTGCACTCCAGCCTGGGTGACAGAGTGAGACTCCATCTCAAAAAAAAACTCAAAATATTACTGCTCATTGACAATCCTGACATGGACCTGGACAGCCATAAGCCCTGAGGGAGATGCACAAGATAAATGCTGTTTGCATGCTGCTAACACAACATCCGTCCTGCAGCTCATGGATCAAGGAGTCATTTTGAATTTCAAGTCTTATTTTTTAGGAAATACATTTTGTAAGGCTATAGCTGCCACAGTCCTCTGATGGATCTAGGCAAAAAACACAGAAAACTTTCTGGAAAGGATTCACCATTCTAAATGCCATTAAGAACATTTGTGATTCATGAGAGGAGGTCAAAATGGGAGTTTGTAAGAAGTTGATTCCAACCCTCATGAATGACTAAAAATTTCAAGACCTCAGTGAAGGAAGAAATTGCAGCATGTGGTCATAATAACAAGATAACTAAAATTAGAAGTGGAGCTGGGTGTGGTGGTGTGTGCCTGTAATCCCAGCTACCTGGAAGGCTGAAGTGGGAGGGCTGCTTGAGCCCAGGAGTTCGAGACTAGCCTGGGCAACATAAGAGACCGTTTGCCAAAAAAAAAAAAAAAAAAGAAAAGAAAAAAGAAAGAAAAATGGAGCCTGAAGATGTGACTGAATTGCTGCAATCTCATGATACAACATTAATAGATGAAGAGTTCTTCTCTATGGATGAGCACAGAAAATAGTTTCTCAAAATGGAATCTACTCCTAGTGAAGATACTGTGAACACTGTTGAAAAAGTTGACAGAGCAACATCAGAGTTTGAGAGGATTAACTCCAATTTTGAAAGACACTGTAATCTGGTGTCAAACAGCATAGACAAATCTTTCAAGAAAGAAAGTCAATTAATGCAGCCAACTTCACTGTCTTATTTTAAGAAATTGCCACAGTCGGCCGGGCGCGGTGGCTCAAGCCTGTAATCCCAGCACTTTGGGAGGCCGAGGCGGGTGGATCACGAGGTCAGGAGATCGAGACCATCCTGGTCAATTTGGTGAAACCCCGTCTCTACTAAAAATACAAAAAATTAGCTGGGCATGGTGGCGCGTGCCTGTAATCCCAGCTACTCGGGAGGCTGAGGCAGGAGAATTGCCTGAACCCAGGAGGCGGAGGTTGCGGTGAGCCGAGATCGCGCCATTGCACTCCAGCCTGGGTAACAAGAGCGAAACTCCATCTCAAAAAAAAAAAAAAAAAGAAACTGCCACAGTCACCCCAGCCTTCAGCAACCATCAAGCAACCATCATCAGCCATCCACATGGAGGCAAGACCCTCCATCAGCTACAAGATTACAACTTCCTAAAGGGTTAGATGATCATTAGCATTTTTTTAACAATAAAGTTTTTTTTTCTTTTTTGAGACAGAGTCTCTGTTGCTCAGACTGGAGTGGTGTGATTTCTCCATCACCCAGGCTGGAGTGCAGTGGCCCAATCTTGGCTTACTGCAACCTCCACCTCCCGGGTTCAAGCGATTCTCCTGCTTCAGCCTCCTGAGTAGCTGGGATTACAGGTGTGTGCCACCACAGCTGGCTAATTTTTGTATTTTTAGTAGAGACGGGGTTTCACCATGTTGGTCAGGCTGGGAAAGTATTTTTAATTAAGGTATGTACATTGTTTTTCGGACATATGCCATTACATACTTAATAGGCTACAGGCCTAAGATGCACTGGGAAACCAAATAATTTTTTAAATTTGTTTTATTGTGATGTTTGCTTTATTTCACTGGTTTGGAACCAAACCTGCAGTGTCCCCAAGGTATGCCTGTAAGTACACGAGTCCATACGGGTAAATGACTGAATAAACAGGAAAGAAGAAACAAATCTTCAAGAGTAACATGCACAGATACTGTCCTCTCCAGGGGCTGGAGCTTAAACCTTCTCAACCCACAGAGTATGGAAAGGGAACAATAGGAACTTGACAGTGGAGAAATCTGGCAGACACCACTGTGACCAGGTGACCAAGCTCAGCACTGCCTGGGAGAAGTCTTGTGGTGGTCACAAGCACACAGTAGGATGTGATGAGAAACACATCAAACGAACTCAAATGGAGAGACATTCTACAGACTACCTGGGCAGTACTCCTCAAAACTGTCAAGGTCACGAGAAACAAGGGAAGTCCAAGAAATTGTCACAGGCTACAGAACGCAAAGGAGATGGGATGACTAAATGCAGTACGTGCCTGGATGGGACTCGGACAGAAAGCAGACATTAGGGAAAAACTGGTGAAATCCAAATAAAGTCTGGATTTTAGTTAATGGTAACTACAATGTTGGTTACTTAGTCATGACAAATGTTCCAGTCATGAAAGAGGTAAACAATGGGGGAGGCGAGGCTTGGTGGCTCACGCTTGTAATCCCAGCACTAGGCGGATCACGAGGTCAGGAGTTCAAAAACAGCCTGGCCAACCTGGTGAAACCCCATCTCTACTAAAACCACAAAAATTAGCTGGGCATGGTGGCGGGCGCCTGTAATCCCTGCTACTTGGGAGGCTGAGGCAGGAGAATTGTTTGAATCTGGGAGGTGGAGATTGAAGTGAGCTGAGATCGTACCACTGCACTCTAGCCTGGGTAAGGGTAAGACTCTGTCTCAGAAAAAAAAAAAAAAAAAAAGAAAATGGGGGAAGCTAGGTGAGGGGCACACAGAAGGCCTCTGTACTATTTTGGCAATTTTTCTAGAAATGTAAAATTAGTCCAAAATAAAAGTTTATTGAAAATGAAAAAAAAAGACATAATAGATGGTTTACCTTCTTTATTCCACTATGTTTAACTATTGGTAGGTTCAGAGAATCAGAACACATCTGTTGCAAAGGTGTGCGATCCAGTCTCTTAAGGCAGGTCTCTGTTCCTAAATGTAGAGATGCAGTTTGGAGTCACGTTAGCAAGTGGGAAATTTTTTTTTTTTTGAGACGGAGTTCTGCTCATTACCCAGGCTGGAGTGCAATGGCGCGATCTCGGCTCACCGCAACCTCCGCCTCCTGGGTTCAGGCAATTCTCCTGCCTCAGCCTCCCGAGTAGCTGGGATTACAGGCACGTGCCACCATGCCCAGCTAATTTTTTGTATTTTCAGTAGAGACGGGGTTTCACCATGTTGACCAGGATGGTCTCGATTTCTTGACCTCGTGATCCACCCGCCTTGGCCTCCCAAAGTGCTGGGATTACAGGCTTAAGCTGCCGCGCCCGGCCACAACTGGGAAATTCTTAAGCCATGAAAAGGATGTGAGGGAATACTAACCTACACTGGGACAGCGGGACCAGGAACACTGACTGGAGTCACGTGCTATGGTCTGACATAGATGTCTCTAACATCATGTCACTTTCATTCATTTCAATTTCAAAGGTTTCTTCCAAGGAAGGTCTGGAATCAGGAGTTTTCCTTGAGGTTTCCAATGGCGTAAGCCCCGTTTCTTCTGCAGTCTGTTTTTCTACTTCAAATTCCCTGAAATCCCAGGGAGGTGAAATAATGTTTTTTAGTGTCTTCATTGTATGCACATCAAAGTCATAACATTTTAATTTGTCTTTAATGTCTGCTCCTAAAAAGAAATACTATAATTAGAATAAAAGAAGAAATTCCATCATTTATCTGTGATTTTTCATTGTTATATAACACCATTTCTATCATTTAAGTCAGATTATACTAATTAGACTAAAACACGAAATTCCATCATTTATCTATCATTTCCATCGTTATATACCATCTCTATCATTTAAGTCAAATTATACTATTAATAGCACACAAGTTGAGAGCAGAATGAAAACAACGTTCCAATCTTTTTCTTCTTTCCTCATTTGTTTTCCACCATCTTCAAAAGAGGTGTCAGAAGACTTTTAGAAGCACATGCAGTCTCAACAGCTGCCCTGTTTCCAAGGCCTCCTAAATATGGATGAGGCCCGTGGGCAACTTTTTTCTCAGCTGTTTCAGGTAAGAACTGCGTTGTGCTGTGCCCACGGGGTATAGTAACCACTCTTATGCATACAGAAGCCACAATGAAAGAAAATCCATTTCCCGTATATTAAAACCTTAAGGTTAATACAGATTTGAACAGATCCAAACAGATGTATTAGGTTCAATCATTTGACATAAACAAAGTGACAGTTTTACACAGTTCAAACCAATGGCTTTCAGGAATAGGTATTTTGACATGCAAACTTTCTAAAAATAAAAATGGCATGAATGATAAATCTCCTCTGCAAGGTCCGGGAAACGTCATTCTGACTCATGATCAACTCTCCAGCCCTTCATTAGCTTCCAATGAACTTCCCACCTTTGGAACTGAGGCTCAGATTTGCCTTCCTTGCCACAGGGCTGCGGTGGGGCAGAGCTAAGCCTTAAACCCAGCATCTCTTTGTTTTTTAAAATGGAGCTAAAACCAAGCAGAAAGTGTGGATCCTCTTAAGCACAGGGCTGAATGAACCCTTATGTACATGCACCCCACACGAATACTGCCAGAGGGGCATAGGACAGGACATCTCCTCAAGACCAATCTGTGCCCACTCCTGGTCAATACTCCCAGCTACTCCGACTTTTCTATCACTACCAATTAGTTTTGTTAATTACTGATTGTTCAAAGATGACATGGTTTGGATCTGTGTGCCCAGGAAATCTCAGGTTGAACTGTAATCCCCAGTGTTGGAGGTGGGAGGATCATGGAGGCGGTTTCTCCTGAATGGTTAGCACCATCCTCTCAGTGCTGTTCTTGTGATAGTGTGTTCTGGTTGTTTAAAGTATGTAGCACCTCCTCCCTTTCTAATTCCTCCTGTTCCAGATATGTCAAGTGCTGGCTCCCTACTTTGCTTTCCGCCATGATTTCAGGTTTCCTGAGGCCTCCCCAGAAGCCAAGCGATGCCAGCATCATGCTCCCTGTATAGACTGGAAAACTGTGAGCCTATTACACTTCTTTTCTTACAAATTACCCAGGTTCAAGTATTTCTTTATAGCAATGTGAGAATGAACTAATACACTAATCTTCCTATAAATGAAAGCAATTAGTACATTTTCTATATTTTTTGTCAAAAATCTGTGAAATTCAAATGATTCAGTAGTCTTTCAAGTAAAAGAGTATTCTGTTGTATGAACATACCACAGTTTATTTCTCCTCTCTCCTACTGCTGGACATTTGCGTCATTTCCAGTTAGGTGCTATAATGAATAAAGCTATGAAGACTCTTGTTTGTGACTTTTAGTGAACAGAAGCACTTGCTTCCGCTGGGCTTATACCTGGGAGTAGAACTGCTACATCGTAAGATCAGTATGGTCAGTCATCACCCTAATACCCACCCCAATGAATCACACCTCCCAGCACCCTGACCCTTATGCAGCCCCCTCCCACAGCAACTCTAAGCTTATGAGACTCACACTGATGGAACAGAACATGATGGAAGTGATGCTATGCAACTCTGAATGTTCAAGAGGTCTTGAAGCTTTGATTCTTGTCCTTTAGAACCCTGAGAACATCATGCTACAAAGAAACCTAAGATGAAAGCCCCACAGAGACTCAGCACCCAAGCTGAGCTCTAATGGAGAATGATACCATTTTACACCATCCACCCAGTCAAGCATCTGCTGACCACAGCTGCATAAGTAAACCTAGACAAGACCTGCACATGAGTCACTCAACCCACAGAACTGTAAAAGTAATACATTGCTGTTGGTTGAGGTTTTGGAGTGGTTAGGCAGCAGTAGATAACTGTATAATAGGCTTAACTTTACTGTGATGTTAAGCAGTTTTCCAGAGGTTTTACTCTTTTATAGCCCACCAATAGTCAATCTGTAAGAGTTCCAGTTGCTCCACATCACACCAACACTACGTACTGTCAGTATTTCTAATTTTTTTTTTATTGAGAGTCTCACTCTGTTGCCTAGGCTGGAGTGCAGTAGTGTGATCTTGGCTCACTGCAAGCTCTGCTCCCCAGGTTCAAGTTTTTCTCCTGCTTCAGACTCCCAAGGAGCTTGGATTACAGGTGCCTGCCACGGTGCCCAACTAATTTTTGTATTTTTAGTAGAGATGGGGTTTCAACATCTTGGCCAGGCTGGTCTTGAACTCCTGAACTCGTGATCCACCCACCTTTGCCTCCCAAAGTGCTGTGATTATGGCCATGAGCCACGCTCAGTCAGTACTTTTAATTTTTAGCCATTGTGGTGGGTGTGTCCTGGTATCTCACTATGGTTTTATTTTTTAATATTACTTTTCTGACACCAGTTTTCACTCTGTTGCTCAGGCTGGAGTACAGTGGCGTGATCCCTGCAGCTTTGATCTCCTGGGCTCCGGTGATCCTCCTGCCTCAGCCCTCAAGCAGCTGGCACCAGAGGTGTGCACCAGTATCACTATGGTTCTAATTTCTTTTCCCTGATAAGTAATGACGTTGAGGGCCATTATCTGCTTCTTAACTGAGGCAGAATAGGGCTTGGAGACAGGGAGCCTTCACTTCAGCCTCTGATTGGCTACAGGTCAACCCTTAATTTGCAAAGGCTATAACCAACAGGAAACCCCTAAGGATACTTAAACCCCAGAAGATTTGCAACTGGGACTCATCAGCTACTTGCTCAAGCCGGCTCCCACTCTGGTGTACTTTCACTTCAATAAACCTATGCTTTTGTCTTCCATTCCTTTGTGTGTTTTGTTCAATCTTTGTTCACCAGGTCCAGAACCTGGACAACTTGCAGTCAAGACCTTCCACAGCAATAACATATTTTGGTGAGCCAGTCAGGAGGTTAGCCCAAATTTGGGGATTTCTTTTTCTTTTCTTTTTCCCTTTTTCTTCTCTATAGAGCCTTCATTTGCAGGCATGAGCTAGAGCTATTTCCATGTGGGATTCCCTCTGCTCCAAACAGGGGAACTCTTTCCCCTCTCTCTTTCCCTTTCCAACTTGGGACCCTCAGTGGACCCTTTTTTGTCCAGAGTAGATGGACCTAAGCACAGAGGCACCTGCAGGTCTCTGGCTGGGGCCACTCTCTGGTGACAGTGAAAGGTTTCTGTGTGGAAGTGCCTGACTGCCACTGCCTGGTTTGGTTGAGGGACCTGAGTCCTGTTCTTATTTTCAGTCTTTCTGTGACCATTTCCTAATTGCTCCTTGGTAACTGAGTGCAACTGGCCGGGGCCACACTCTGGTGTTACCTAAATTTCTTGAAGCTCCCTTGGAGGAATGAGAAAGACAGTAACCAAGGCAGTAAATCATGATAAAGTAAGGGAGGTTACACAGGACAAGGAGAAAAATCCAGCCATGTTTCATGGCAGGCTAGAGGAAGATTTTGAAAATATACCAGTCTGGATCCTTCCTCTCCCAAAAGGCAATGTTGAGCCCTCTTTTATTACTACTATTACTACTTTTGGTATAAATTTTTTCGAATCGGAGTCTTGCTCTGTCACCCAGGCTGGAATGCAGTGGTGCAATCTTGGCTCACTGCAACCTGTGCCTCCCAGATTCAAGCTATTCTCCTTCGTCTGCCTCCCGAGTAGCTGGGACTACAGGCACATTCTACCAGGCCCAGCTAACGTTTTAGACTTTTAGTAGAGATGGGGTTTCACCGTGTTAGCCAGGATGGCCTCTATCTCCTGACCTCGTGATCCATGCACCTTGGCCTCCAAAAATGCTAGGATTACAGGAGTGAGCCACCATGC